GTTATAGTTCCTTGTACACACGTATTTCTTTTGTACTACAACTCTCGTTAAACCTTTTCTATTACCTCTAACTTTCTCTACTCTACTTTCTTGTAACGTAGTCTTTACTACACATATTTTTTTTTCTCTCTTAGCTCTCTTTACCTTACCTCTACTCTTTTCTACTTCGTTTCTAGAAACCCTGAGTAGTTAGCGAAGTGTGTCTTTCTTTCTTCTCTTCTCTTTCTCTCTTCTCTTTCTCTCTTCTCTTTCTCTCTTCTCTTTCTCTCTTCTCGTAACTCCCAAGCAGTTAGCCGGGTACATGTATATGCCTCTTGTTCTCTCGTAACCCACTACGTTACACGCTATGCTACCTTTCTCTAGATATGCTTACTCCCCCTCTACTATGCTAAGTACAAGTCGAATCCCTACTACCATCGCGTTCGTAAACACCTGCCCCCATACCTCCTCTCTATGCCTCTTCCCTAGCCACACTGCATATGCATCGTCTCCTGTCTCCCTAAACCCTGCCTCTCCTATCGTCTGAATCCCAAGCCGTGTGAGCCGCGCTGCGTATGCCAGCGGTATCACTACATTCGGCCATTGACACCAATTCTCCATGCCCTCTCCCGTTGCACAGTACTTCTGACTCACCCAGCATCGCCGACAGTTATTCTTCACCGTCCGATCTACAATCTTCTTCCGAAACGTATCCGCGTCTGCACCAGACGCCCTCTCCCACGCTGTGCACCCTAGCACCCAGTGCTTCTTCCACTGCTCCTCTTCCTTTGTTACATACTGCTGCCCAACTACCCAGCATATCGCACACCCACCCCGCAACTCCGTAAACGTCTCCTCTACTACCGCCCATTCCCGTGCCCAATGCTCGTGCTCCTCTAACCATACCTCCTCCCCCTCCCCACACCGGTCACAACACACCCCATCCATCTCTCTACACCCTATCCCTTGCCCATCCAAGTACGAGCTCATCAGCGCCCGCCGACACCCATTCCCAATCAAAAACGCCCCCATTGCCTGCACGTCAATATCGCCGCTCTCCTGCTCGATTCTCTTCTCTACCTCCCCCTGTTCGATCATCACCACAACGTCAAACGTCTCTCCGCCTCGCCCTCCACGCCCGCTTGCCTGAGCAAAATCCGTCATGCTCCACGGCATCCCTACATGCAAGATGTACACAATCCCCGCATAGTCCACTCCTGTCCCAAGCGCGGACGTAGCCACAATTAGCCCTCCCTGCTCTACCCACTCCTGCAGCCGCTCTCCTCGCTCCTCTACGTCGGCGTGATAGTGCGCACAGCCAACCTCCCCCGCTATCCACTCACACTGCGCCTTGCTCAGACAGTACACTACCCCCTTCTGCCCTGTCCGCTCTAGCTTTTCGGCCCATCGCTTGCATACCACCACCGCCGTGTCCTCCAATGCCTTGCGTTGACACCACGACACAAAGTAGCGCGCGTTCGGTCGTGCTGTGCTTGCCCGGATATACGTTGCGTTGCGCACCAGCATGCTTGCCTCGAGCTCCCCTTCCTGCACCGGCGGCAGCGTTGCCGTTAACAACACAATCGGACATCCAAGCAGTCGCAAGTTCTTCACCTTAAGCAGATTTGCCCGCCAGTGCCGTGCTGTAAAGAGCAGATGACACTCGTCCACCACAACTCGTTGCAGCAGCCCCTTGTCCTTCATCAGTCGAGCATACCCTAGAAAGTTGCCGTTGCTCGTAATATCGCCTGCTACGTCTGCGCTAACAACCACTACAGACGCCGGGTTGCTCTCGCCGTGCTTCCACTCTATGCAGTCTATACCACAGTTGCGAATCCGGCTCACCAAGTCCTCGATCAACGCTCGGTACGGCACAACGACGACCGTCACCCCGCTCTCCTCTATGCATGCCGGCAGCGTAAACAGCAAGCTCTTGCCTCCTCCTGTCGGAAGCACAACAACAAGCGGTGTTGTCTTGTCCAGCACTGCGTACAGAGCCTGCTCCTGCTCTATTGAGCGAAACCCGACGTCCTGCTTCCCTAGCACCTGCTGCAGCGCCCGACGCACAGCCGCAGCTCGCGCATCTTCTACATGAACAGCCTTTGCTTTCGGGAGCATCGGAAGCCCTGAGATACTCTCTCGCATCGGCCTTTTCCGCTGCAGTCGGCGCTCCTCGGGCGCTTTAGCCTGTCCGTCTACACCTAAAAAGCGGTGCCAAGCGGTACTAAGCGCCCGGAACGCATCAATAGACCGCGTGCTTAGATGCTTAACGATATCAATCGACACGCTGTAGTTGCCTACTCCCATAACCGTCGTTCGCGAGTTCTGCAGCTCAATCAAGTCCTCCTCCTCCTCGTCTACCTCTGCTTCATCCATCTCGCCAACCTCGTCTTGATACCCCTTGCCAAACGACTCCCCCACCTTCACCCGCCCGATTCCGACAGCCGTGTGACGGTAGCCTAGCGTACTCAGCTCGACGCCAAGTCGCTTACCCGTCTCACGCCGCAGCACCTTCGTAAGTCGATCTGTACCCCATGCGCCTTGCTCATTGCTCCAGATGTAGTCGTCCAACCCGCCCCCAAGCACAGTTGCTACAAGATACTCTCGAAACGGCTGCAAGTAGCTCAAGTACAACACCATCACCTGCCCTAATCGCGGCGGCAGAAAGCGCGGAACCACCTTCGGCTTGTCCCACTGAGACTGTGACTTGTGATACCGCACGACGGTCATAACAGCACCGTCTACAACAAAAACATTGCGGTCCTGTAGCAGCCCATTGCGGTGCCGCATCGTGATAATCTCAGAGCCTCGAGCCGGCTGTCCCGATTCCATGTGCACACAGCCTAGCAGTAGCGCTAAGAAGCGATCTACCTCCCGTAGATACTCCCGCACCTTTTTACTTCTCCACCGGCCGTTAGACGTCTGTAGCCGCATGCCGCTCTCTGTGCTCCGCGCCCTTTTAAGCATCCAAGCCAGCCCATCCAACAGACGGTTACCCGGGGTAGTAACAAACGACCTGCCCCGAGTCGTAAATGTAACGTCGTCTTGAATCTGCGCCAGATCCACCGTAAAGCGGTCAGCTATACGATCAACCCAGCACATCTGCCAAAACGTGTCCTCTACCTCCGCTTCCATGCTCTGCGCCATTGCGCGGAAACGCTCTATCACAATCGGCCGGCCACTCAGATAAAACACCTTCTTGTCGGGGGACCAGTATGCGTTGCCAGCATTGCCCTCGTTCAGCGCTGCGTGCTTGCCATACGCAAGAAGACTAAGCATAATGCTCATCGGACTATATGAGCCATCCGCTAGATACTGCTTGCGCATCTCTAAGAATCGCTCGCGGTCTTCTTCCGTCTGATCGTCGCGCTCGGCTGCGGGCAGAATCTTTTCCGCTGCTAGTACGCGAACGCAGTAGACCACGCTAGCAAGCATGTACGAGAAGTTCTTTGCTGTACGCAAGCGGTTTGTCTGCGTGTCAATGCCCAGCACAGCCAGATACTGCACCAGACTACTCGAAAACTCATCGCTGCCATAGCCTGTGAGAATAAACGAAGCTAGCGAGTCAAGCAGCGCGTTTGTCTGAGCAGCTGCGTCGCGGTTACCCAGCGTAAGCCATAGCTGGATTGCTAGCGCCTTCTGATTGTCCTTCCACGTGAACAGCTCGCGCGCATCCTTCATCTTGTCAGCCTGTACAACGCGACGCGGTTGCCGCAGTAGCACAACACCGTCGTTGTCGTTGCTGTCGACAGTGCCTTCCATGTCGCTGTCGTCGTACTCGCTCTCTGTGCCAGCATCCTCGTCGCTTGCACTGTCCACGCCAACAGCTTGATCCCGCTGTGCTACATATTCATCTACTCGACGCTCTTCGTCTGCAACGATGCGGAGATAGAAGCAGACAAATCGGACCATGTAGCTAGTGTACGTTGCCTGACTCTCGGGGTTCTGCAGTCGCGCTAGCGGCCGTTGATCGATTTCCGTCTGCTGCGCACTACGAAGCCAGCGTCGTGTTTCCTGTGGAAGCGTTGCCAAGCCACGAACGGATTTTTCAATTAGTTCTTCTGTCAGCTTAGCAGCCAGCTGCAGCTTTGCTTCGTTTCGGTCGGGCAAGCGGGCTTGATAGCCTAGATGAGCCAGATTTCGGCCCTGCAGAAACGACAACCACCCGGTTCTCTTAAACCAGCCAGTTTTGTCCGTCTTTGCAGCCTCGGCCATCACTTGCATGTCTTCTTCAAGCTGCTGTCGCACGGTCTGCCATCCGCTGAGTTGCTGCTGAACGACCTGATCTTGATCGAGTTTTTCTCCATTTTCCCCAATGCCCAAATCGACAACAAAATATTTCTGCAACCCCCCACCACGGAAAAACGTCTGAACTTTGACAGAATCGAACAGCTCGCTCTTCTCTCCCTTCCATGCTTGTTGGTGATTTTTTTTCAAGTGTTTCCGCAACACGCTCTTGTCTACTGTAAGAAAAGAGCATGTCTTGCAACAGAGCCTATCCAGCGGCGTCCCTAGCTCTTTAATCGGTTGAGCGGGTTGCTCGGGAAGCTTAACATCCTTCGGATCTAACCTCTCGCAACGCGCAAATCGCTGAAGAATCTCCTTTCGCACATTAGCGGGCGTCGCGTGTCGCTCTAAGAGATGTTTGTCTAAATTAACTACGCCGCTGCAGTGCTGCTTGCAGACTAGCACACAAAAATCAGCTAAAAAGCAGAGAATATCAGCACAGTTGTCTAGCGAAACTGCCTGCAGCTTGCTGCGTACGGGCGGGCTGCTGTTGCTGCTCTCTGCGTTCTGCGATGCGGGCGCGCGAGTGTTCCAGACGGGCAGCTCCATTATTAGATAACCCTAACCCTAAGCTAGATCCCACAACGTAAATCTACCTGCAACAAGTAGAAACTTTGCAGACACGCTTGTTAAGTATGCGCGAGAAACTTTTGTATGCGAATGTAGTGCTGATAACCGCTGTAGCGTAATGGTTCGGGGGGGTCGGAATTCGCGGTTCGGGGGGTGCAAATCGCTTAATCGGGACACGTAACCCTAACGCTAAGCCTATTGTAGCGCGGGTCGGGGTCCGAACCGCGCCTCATATTGGTTAGGTAGGCTACAGACTCTACGGCACGACCGTCTCTTCTCTTATTCCTTTTCTTTTCTCCGGGCAGGTCCCCATAGGCGTGGAATTCCGTCCCAATAACCCCCATGATGTAGTTTACATACTGTCCACAGTTGTTCACCAGTAAATCATACTCAGGGTACCGTTCAAAGTAGATTGTACCTAGCTCTAGTTAGCTGTGTTACTCCTCTAGTTAACTGTCCTATACTTTTGTCTATGACAAGCTCACTAAGCTTTTCAATGCTCATATCCTGCCGAACTCGCCCTAGTGCATTAATCTTGGCTTGTTTATGCATAGACGTAAACGGCTCCCACACCCGTGCTCGGTAGTTAGCTCGTACGCCCTTCTTGAACGTTGCATCAAGCGCAGTATCAAGGTCGAATGCATATCCCTGGAAGTCTTTACTGTAAGGACCAGACCGAAACTGGCCCACAATAATGACAGCACTACGTTATAGAGATTAGCATGCCTCTCTTATCTATCTTCTTCGCCTCGCTGCGTAGCCAAAAACGTACTGAGCACCCCCGTTGCACATCTTCTCAATAGCATTTCCGTTCCAGTATTCCGCAAATGCGTAATTGACTCCGATTTCTGGTTCTGGTAACCCCTGATCCTTAAGCACAGATGCCATAACATCGTAGCTAGTGGCACTATCGTCATGCCATGGTATAACTCGTCCTGCTAGCGCCAGGGCAATCCACTGCAGAAGAAATGACCATAGTAAGAGTAGCTGCATACTGGTACAGAGTCCTGGTAGCGTACTGGAGCAGAATGAGGAAGTAAGGGAGTATAGTAGCCTGTTGGCAAAAGAGAAAGATAGTAAAGAAGCTGCTCTGGCTCCTTAGCTTGAGGCGGACGTGCTTGTTTTAAGAACTACTTGTCCCTGTGCCTCTTCTCCGCTTGTATCTGTGCCCCTTCTCTACTATCCCAACGTCGGCCTTGAAACAAACAGGATGTAAAAAAGACATAGTAAAACAAGAGTGTCTCGGAGGTAGGTAAGAAAAAAGAATACCCACTCCTCCTGTATGACCCTGTGTGTCTGAGCCGTGCCTCCCGCGCCTCTCTTAGAACCCTGTATACCTAAGCAGTGCCACCTACGCCTCCGTCAGAAGCCCCCGCGCCTCCGTCAGAAGCCTGAGTGTCTGAGTAGTGCCTCCCGCGCCTCCGTCAGAAGCCTGTGTGTCTGAGTAGTGCCTCCCGCGCCTCCCTCAGAAGCCTGTGTGTCTGAGTAGTGCCTCCCGCGCCTCCCTCAGAAGCCTGTGTGTCTGAGTAGTGCCTCCCACGCCTCCCTCAGAAGCCTGTGTGTCTGAGTAGTGCCTCCCGCGCCTCCCTCAGAAGCCCGTCTATCCAAGCAGCGCCTCCTACGCCTCCTCCTTGTAGGCCTGTTAGTCTTACTACCAACGAGTAGCCGGTTCTGCGTAGATTCTAGCATATAAGAGCGGGGAAGTAGCTCGCAAAATGACAACGCTAACTACCACAGAGGCAGCAATACATACGTTTACATCTTGCATGTAAGTACGAAGCTGGGTTAGGCTACCTGTCCTGCTTCCCTTGTTAACATACCCTCTAGCTTTACACTCAATTGCTACTACAACTACAACAACGATGAAGTGCAACATCTCCATCTGGGTAGCAGTGGCTATAAGCCTTACCTCCGTTACCGCCAACCCAGTTGCCATCCCTCAACCGGCTGTCAACCCGCAACACTCGCCGCTCCTTGCGTGTATTCAGCAAAAGCATCCCAACTTCCCTACTAAGGGCAAGCCTACGCCTCAAGAGATGCGCAGCTGTCTTGACGAGGCAAAGGCAAACACAAAGCGAGACACGGAAGCGGGAAGCCCTACGGCAGACGTAGGAGCAGAGGAGCTTCTGTACAACCCAGACGAGAAACGATCTGTGCAGCCTCGATACATTATTGATTCCGTTGGACGACTAGGCAAGAGCCTGTACCTGGACAAGAAAGCAACCTGGTGTGATGGGAAAACAGTACACGATAACTTTGTGTGGGTAGCAGACATTGTATCCAGATCAAAGGATATCTGCTCACAGCTCAAAGACCAGATCGACTCCTCAGGCTTAAAGGAGGATGGTGGGGTTGGGCTTGTTATTGACAAGCTAACCAATGGACACGATAAGCAGGGTCACCAACTCAAGGACAAACGCAAGGTTACAGCATCCTACCTGCTTACCTTTGTACCCCCTGCTAAGATGACAATTAACGAGATCAAAGAGCTATCTACAGGAGTGTACGATCTCTGCAACGATGGTATTGAGCGGATTGCTACCAAGGGAGAAGGATGTACGCAGGATATTAAATACTACCGCCCAAGCAAGGCAAAGCACTACACGGATACAGGGGCTATTGGCGGCACTATCCAAATGTACCTAGGCGACTCCGTGAGCCGGGTTGCCGATCTTACTATTGGCTTCTTCGATGACTAGTCGCCTAGTAGAGCAAGCTATGTAAACCCTCTCCTTGCGCATGGAGCTGGCAAAGGATCTCTCATACTGTCTATGTACCAATCTTCTACTAGGGTATACATAGCACCGTATATAGTGTAAGCGCGCTTGTAGAGAAGTAGCTACGCGGGAATACGAAGTTCAACGTCTCTTCTGCTTTATGCTTTTGCGTAGTTACGTGTAATCTAGAGTAGCGTAGCAGTTCCTAGTATACATGGCTTGTAGTGTGTAAGAGAGAGTACAGCTGGGCTCGTAAGAAGCTGTCCGGAGGCGCAGCATATCTAATAATAGAGACCAATAAGAACACACAAGCTATTTTGGATAAGCGCTGACAAGGTAGGGATTACGTATATAGAGTAGAGTAGCTGCGCACTCTTCTAAAAAGTTCTAAGCAGCCTCCCCTCTTCTTAGTGTGGCACACACTAGATCTTGCTGACTACTAAGTACTCTCTCACGTGCGCTCTAGCGGTAGTAACCTATACAGCATGTACGCAGCTAGCACAACTGATCTCTGCAAGCTCTACGCATTACCTCGTACACGTCTGCCACCTTGTTCTTTTGTTTACTAGCTAACTAGAACAGAACATGTCCAGAAGATGTTGCTTGAGCACCTGTTTATAGCAGGGATTCCTAGCTCTACTATAGAGCGCTTCTACGAACACAGTGTAGAGAATAGCTGCTGCCATTGTAGGAGACACATTCTTTGCATCCCAAGTCCTTTGCTAACATACGCCAGACTGGTCCATCTCTTCGGTAGAGACATGGCTTGCTAGCGTATGCTCGGACAACCAGACGATAGCGCGTACAGCCGCGCCTATTGTGTACCAGATCCTCTTGCACTACAGCGCCTGGCCCTTCAAGCCAGATTGTACTACTACGCTCACGCTAGACGGCCTAGCCATTGCCATAGCGCTGCTAACAGGACAAGACCAGTTCTACATCCGCTTTGAGGACCGTCACAGCCGTTCCTACGCTGTAGAGCGACCTCGCAACTGGGCAGATAGAGGCAGGCTGCTCTTCCAAAGTCTCTGTAGCAACACAAACTGGGCAGAGGAGGCTACTCAAAACTGCAGAGCGGGCGGTGACAACAAAGACCTGGTTGCTGTGCTCTATGAGAGCATGCCACAGCGGCAAAAGCCAAATAGAGAACGCTTTCTGCCTGTAGCAGCTACACTCCCAAGCTCCTATGCTACAAAAGTAGCGAGAGAGGTACCGATCCAATCTGTCCAAGTATTGCTGGAGCTACTACTTGTAGCTGCTACACTACCACTCCCTGGCTCCAGTATAGACAGGCAAGAAGGGCTATACAACACAGCAAGAACTGTTGCTTGCTCTCTCCAGGCAGACAGTACCAAGGTAGATTGGGAGCAGTTTACCGAGTTTGCATCAAACGCTGCGGTACGCTACTCTTTTACTGCCGTTTCATCTACTACGCTAACTGAGTAGTAAGCCCCTTCTACTCGCGGAACTAGCTGCTTTTGTGTGGCATGCTTTTCCAAGCCACAGAACTAGCCAGTACGAGGTTCAGCAGTTATGGGGTGTATCACCTGCAGTAGGCTATCACACCCTCGCAGCATCAAGCCAAAGCCGCTAACCAAGGTAGTCCGTTACAACAGAGCCTTTACCTAAGCAGTCCCGCCTAAGCATCCTCCAGCTCTGCCAACTCCGTCTTGTAACCCCCGCTGCTATCCTTACGAGGTTAACGCTGCTGTCTCAGGGTAGCCCTCCTGAGCTATCGTGCTACGCTATATGGCCATTACTCGCTCTAGCGCCAACACATCGGCTCTTATATGTATATAGCACTACACAGGAAGGGCCGCTACTATTCGCTTGCTATTTGAATGCGCCCATGGTACGGGCGAACTGCCTAGCAGAGATTCGGCGAGGGGCTCAAGCTCTTCTGCCTCCAACCGCGTACTCGGACTGTCTTGTCCAGAGTAGCCCAACCCACAGCGTGCTAAGAGGGAACTGGCCCCAAACTAGGATAGAATTGGAGGCTACTGGCAAGTTGTCCTTACACCTTGGGGGCGTGTCTGTGTGGTTTGACCAAGGACTAGAGACAGGTAGTCTCTGTGCTATGGGTCGTCCAAGGCTGTCTTTTACGTGCCAACAGTTGGAGGTCTGGAGCGAAGAATAGATGCTAACGTAGTTGTATATAGTGGCAGACATAGGTAGTAGGTAGATGAATAGAAACGAAGAACAACATCCAACCTAGCCCTAAGAGTTACTAAATAAGAGACGCCCCCCGAAGAGCTAGCGAGAAAACTGCCTGCCTAGAACTACGGAACCACGCCGCACAACTAGGCTACTAGTAGCGCAGTAACGCGGGGCCCCTAGCACGTATTGCTGCGTTGTGCCACGTACTCTACAAGCATTATCCGCGGACTGTTATTAGTCCAACACAAGGCTTACACGGCACAGCTAACCGGCCTTTGGTAAAAGCAGAGGCAGCGTCGGCGACGTGGCAGCCATGGAATTCCTCCTAACGTAGGAGTACTACGTCTCGACAAGAAATAAATCCGCTACATTTCTATCCGCTACATCCTTCTCTACCAAAAAACACCCTACGGCAGAACAATAACACCCGTATCGCAACTACCATCGCGTTGCTAAAATACTCCCCCCAAACCCGCACCGCATGTCGCTTGGCTAACCATCCTGCATACTCCTTCCAATCTCCTCCTAGCTCTCCTGTATACCCTAGCTCTCGCACCAGCCCTACGCCCGCCGCTTCACTCGCAATCGCTCGAACCACCAGTATCACTACGTTCGGCCACTGACACCGCTGACTCATGCTCTCCCTAGTCGCGCAATACTTCTGACTTACCCAGCACCGTCGGCAGCTATGAATCCTCTCTCCGCTATCGCACACAAACCGTCGAAACCGGTCCACATCCGTTGCGGTAAGCCCTACGTGTGCTGTGCACTGCACCGCCTTATGCCGCTTCCATCCCTCGCTCCCGCTCTCTCCAGCTACAAAGCACACCCCACATCCATGCCGAATCTCATCCATCATCGCCCGCACATCCTCCCACTCGGCACTCGCCTGACCCTGCGCTTCCTGCACTTCTCCCATCCCCTCCCCGCACCGGTCGCACCCTGCGCTCTCAATGTCGTTGCAGCCTATGCTCTTCCCATCAAGATAACCGCTCATCAGCCCCCTGCGACACC